ATTATTAAGTGGGTTTAAGATGAGTCAGTTATTATGAAAGTCTCTGAATGAATGTAGATCACCTAGTGCCGCTGTAACACACTCCTCAAAGCAGGTTTTGAAAGTCTTATGACAGACATCAAGGATTAGCTGCTGTACTCATTTTTTTTGTTGCCTTTCATTTGCATAAAGTTAATCATTTCTCTGCTTTTTGATGCACTCACCATGTTCTCCTCCCCTGCTAGAATGAATTGAAATGTAAGTCCATCAGTGGCAGCTCGTGGGTTTTAAAAAAGAGGCGGCACACTAAATTGTAATGTCTGGGGATCCCCTGCCGAGGAGGATGATGACGATGATGTTTATTATTATTTGCTTAACTGCTTTAAAGGGCTTTTTGGTCACTTTTAGACAACATTACACATAGTACAGCAAGATAATACAAATATAATTTCACTCACCTAGCCTATCACTTGAAGCAAACATCCATCCCTTCTCAAATGTCCGTGTTAAAAGAGCGTGTTGGGCCGTTTAGTAAAGCTGATTGCTGTAGCCCATATATCCAGCTTAGGCATGGAGTCTTCCTTCATTTTTAATTTGTCAATACTGTTTGAATGATAGCTTGGTAAATTTGTTGGCAATCAGATATTCAATATCGCTACTCTCCATAATTAATTGACTAGGTGGTATATTATCAGCGTATATTATCAAACTAATCTCACGTAATTTACGTCTTTTCGATGATTGGTTGATAGGGAGGCTAGCCTCCCCTGCTATGTAACTTTTCTCAAGTGCTGAAGGTGAAACACTCGATGGTGATTGGCTATTTTTTTTAACCAACTGAGGCACAAGAGGTCGGCTATGGATTCATTTGCCTTCTCTATCCCTTAGCGGTTGTAATCATGCCGGCAGATTCGGCACGTCCGTGAGAGAAAAGCGGTGCTTTCGATTTCATTAACATGTTATGGTGTTACAGCGGTGAAATTACGAAGAAAAAATACACATTCTGAGCCATGAAATGGAATGAATACCTGGGAATTTTATTAACATTAAATCATCCTTCTTTTATTTTCACCTCAAAATCTTGGGCTAGGCTGTGCTTCCCCTGACGAGCTGCCACTGAAGTCAATACTTTAGACACACACTTTACAAAGTACCCTACCTATGGGAACTGAGAGCCCAGTACTGACAATAAAAGTAAAGATACCGTTTGTGATAATCTCATCCTTTTTGTGAGTTAAAAAAATCATAAAACAAATGTGCTTGGAACTATTTTATATTTAAACAAATCTGTAATTTAAAATGTAAAAAGTCACTGATTTGAAAAGTGAACAACAAAGGGGCAGTTCTGTTATTTTGCACTTACATTCCAAGACTTAATGCGCGGATCATTTGGCATACAGTACCAGATTGTTTTGTTCCGTCCAATGCTGTTGTTAGCACTGTCTATCAGATTCAATCATGCATTTAAAAACGGTTGTCAATCCAGAAACTTTGCAATGTGTAGGTATAGAAGCATGAAAAATGTATACTGTATGGTCTAGAGAAAGCGAGCAAAGATCGCTGCCATTATAATCATTGAAGCTGTCAATTACAATCTGAGGTACGCAAAGTTGCACTTATGCCAAAACTCCCGTCCATAACTGTGCAATCTATCTAGAATCTATTATTGACGTTTATACTTAGTTGGATATAATGGCAGCCAGGATTCATGAGCGTGCAGAACTCGCGTCGGGGTTTGAGCGGTGTGGAGCTGATTTTTGACTAACTTAAAAACCTCTGATTGGCCAACAGATATACTGCCAACATATATTCTAGAGAGCTCTGTGTTTGCATCATGGGTCAGACAGCATTCCATTCAGGTCAGAGTCTGTTTTTCTGTGCTGTGTGATTAATGCCATTACAAAACCAGATGGGAAAATGTATGATTGAGGACTGTGTTTAGTCAGTTGTAGTTACATCACAGTGTTGTGCAGCAGAGAGAGAGAGGTACACAAAACCTGCCTGCCATTTAAATCTCCTGATCGCGTCCCAATCCGCCCCTGCCATGCTGAGACGCCTTAAGCTGCTTAGGGCCTAATCTGGGCCCTGGGCTCTTAGGGGAGCACATGTACAGTGTCCGGAGAGGAGGGGCTAAACTGTGGCATGTGACCAGGGGAATGCACCTTCTTTCAGGTGGGCTTATTTCGAATGCATGCTGTGTTAAATCCATTCATAGGCTGGATCTTGGTGATAACATGTTATTGTGCGTGATTGTGGACAATTTTATGCGGGTTTGTCTTTAGAAAAGCAGACACATTAGATCGATGCATTCTTTCTAAATGGTATATTAGAATGAATGTGTTGCAAATAGGGTTTTGTGGTATGTCAAGTAATTTGTAAATATCAGAACCTTATGAAGACAGTGTGGTTCAGGTTGCTGAAGCCAACATAAAGTGTGAGCTTTTTTGGTTAATGTCTCCAATTTAATGTCATACAAGTTTATACATTTCCTGGCAAGCTTTATTCTTCAACAGTACTCAAAAGGCATAAACTGAAATGTACGGTCAACATTCAGAAACATTTTTAAAAGTTGTAGTAAAATAAGTTGTATTCTCATTTTCATTGCATCTAATTGACATAATTAATGAATACGCTTGTTTGATGAAGCTATTAAAATATTAGGTTATATATTACTAGAAAATGCCTTTACACGTTATTACTCTCACAATTTGACTTTTTAACATTGTTTGCAATTGCATACAACAAGAAATGACCAAATTTGAATTAATTAAGGGAAAATTTGAAGGAAATACATGGATGTGAGAATAATAACATCCTAATTAATTTCCATCATATCAAGTCTGGCTCTAAATTTCCATCTGGTTATGGGCAATTAAAGTGATCCACAAATTAAGTCAACTCTCATTTTACAAATGTAAATTTATTGCATACAGGTTGCAGGTTACTGCTCCCTCTTACCTAAATTACTTCAGACTTATGTGCCATCCAGAAACCTGCGCTCTGCTAGCGAATGTCGTCTTGTGGTACCATCTCAAAGAGGCACAAAATCTCTTTCTCGGACCTTTCCTCGGCTGTTCCCTGTTGGTGGAATGATCTGCCTTACTCAACCAGAGCTTCTGAGTCAGTAGCCACTTTCAAGAAACTGCTGAAGACATATCTTTTTCGGCAGCACTTGATTCAGTAGAATTAACACTTTCTCTTCTCTTCTATTCTATAAAAAAAAAAAAAAAAAAAAAACTGCACTAAAATTAAACTGAGAGGGGTTATAGCACTTACATATTGTTGTCCTACTGTTAGTTCAACTGCTTCTATTGTTCTCATTTGTAAGTCGCTTTGGATAAAAGCGTCTGCTAAATGAATAAATGTAAAATGTAAATGTAAATGCAAAATGTGTTAGAATGGTAATGTTTATGTTTTCAAAGCTGGACAGTGTTTACAGTCGTTTTGTATGTCAGCCTACAAATGGTTTTCTTGGTGTCTCTGAAACAAATAACATACAGTACTACGTCATCCTGAGTTTTCAAAAAACAGTTATCAGTTGTTATACAGAAGATGTTTTTCGAAACAAAGATGTGTTATTACAATGCAGACACAATTAGAATAATAGCTGAAAACCGCTTTATTTTGTAACTTAAATAACATTAGCCCTAATATGACCGCTCCCCAGAATGTGTGCTCAGGAAATCACACACACAAAAAATCTGAATATTAAGTGCCAACAACTGTGCATTTTAATAGATGGCTCATTTGCAATTTAAATGCTGCTGTTGTGTAAGCCCTGGTGAATTGCATGTGATGTTTTTATTTGCATTATTGTTTGTCCCTGCAAGGCTTAATGCTGTAAATAGGGTTTTCCCCTTTCCCATCTTTATCTGTCCAGGGTTTGCGTTTCCCAAAAGCATCGTAAGCCTAAGTTGATCGTAGAGACCATTGGTGGCAATTGTTCTACGATCAACTTAGGTTAGCGATGCATTTGGGAAACGCAGCCCAGGATGGTTCAGTTGGTGTTCATTTACCACTTTAAAAAAAAAGAAAGAAAAAAGATGAAGCTGATACTGCTACTGTATAAAGACCCTGAAGTTTGTTTGAGTGCTCTGAATAGGAAATTGTGATTGACAGCACTTGGCCTAAAATACTAATTGAATACCATTGCTCTGTGTAAAACATAAGGGTGATGACCCGAATTATTGACTTGAAATGGCTTATTTTTAATGTAGCCTCTGTTTGTCTAAGCAGGGTCTAATTTATTTGTCAAATAACATCCCACGGGAACAGTCATTCTGGCATCTCTAATGAACTGCCTAAGAGTGAGTCAGAATTCCGTTGTGTACAATTCATGGGTACGTCTCGCAAACCATACCCACAATGCACTACCTACAGAGCAGCAAACACTAATTGGCACTGTCACTTCTTATGGTTGTGGGGTTTACTGAAGCAAAAATAGTGCAGACTGAGTTCATGTGTGTTTACATTGCATTCTTGCAGGTTTAGTGGTAACAATGAAGGTCTGAAACAGACAGATCTTGACCGTTTTCACTGCCGCTTTAAGTCAAGCGCCAGGCCAGGTCATTTTTGGTTGTAGATATGACGGATGCTATGTAAAGTGAGTGACTGCATGGATATCTGTAGCATACTGCAGTGTTTTCTTATTTAGGAGTCATGTGCAGTCACGTCTAGGAGACTGCTGCTAACGTTCGCTATCAAATGTCATCGCCATGGTAAAAGATCATTAGTTGTGTCCCAAATGATGCACTATGCACTTATACATTTTGTATTCAACCATGTAGTGTATGAATTTTATAAGGTTATTTTGAGTCTGATTGATACCCCCTCCGCTACATAAATTAAAGCTGTGACAGTTTTTGATTAGTGTATCATCCGGATATTTAAAGTACACTTTTTCTTTTTGGAATTTGAAATTCAGTGTATATTAATAATCAGGCAATTATAATAATGCCTCTGAGTTTGCATCCCTGGATGTTAAATGCTTATCAAAACCTTTTTCTTTTTTTTCCCCACAGACTATCTGTGTAGTCCGGAAGACAATTTGTACAATATTGACTTCACACGTTTCAAGATCAGGGATATGGAGACAGCAACCATACTGTTTGAGATCACCAAACCACCAACCACAGGTGAGTGTGAGCGGCCACTTCCAGCGGGTGACCGATTCCAGTCATGTGATCAGCAGTATGGAGAGAAGATCAAATCAGTTAATAATCCGCTGCAGCAGTGAGATGTGATATGCTAATATATTAGATATATTTTGTCCCTAAAAAGGTGCTTGTAGCGCGAGGTTACATTTTACAATATGTAGTAATTTAGCAAGTCATTTGGCTTTTGGCATTGTATATTACAAATATTATTACAGGACTTTTTATGACCACTTAAAAATAATATAGCAACAAGCTGCAATTATGAGGCCAGGCACATCAAACAGACTGAATTGACAAATGAGCAAAAGCACAATATTAGGCAGAGCAGGTCAAAGGTTCTGTGAATTTTTTTTATTTTATTTCTTTACCCAAGGTTTTATTTCACTAGGTAAAACCAGTTCCAGAGTTATAAAGGGGTATTAATGATTTTCTGAACACTAGGTGGTACTGCAGTCACATGAAGTTTACTGAAATGGAACAGAAGACTGAAATAGGATGCGATTCATGAAGTAATGTGCAGTGAATGTGAATGATGTGCATTCACAGCTTCAATATATATATATATATATATATATATATATATATAACAAAAAAGTAAAATGTCTGCTTGTCTCTGCTGTCTTGATTTAGTCTTTTTAACTCTTGGTTACACAATCATCATATACAATTATGAACAGACACATACCTGTACATCAATTATGTTATTTAATTCTCATTGTGATGTTAGTCTCTTTTTTTTTTCCAGATAAAGGAAGGGATAAAAGAGATGTTGATCCAAACGCTGGGCGGTTTGTACGTTATCAGTTTACGCCGGCTTTCTTACGGCTACGTCAAGTAGGAGCCACGTAAGTACAGTTTTTAAAATTAGTCAGTGTATATACATTACCATTCAAAAGTATGATGTTAGTAAGATAGTTACAAAAATACATACACATTCACACACCGGCCACTTTATTAGGTACACCTTGCTAGTACAGTGTTGGGCTGCCTTTAATTCTCCGCGGCATAGATTCAAGAAGGTGCTGGAAACATTCCTCAGAGATGTAGAATCACACAGATGCTGCAGATTTGTTGGCTGCACACATCCATGATTGCGAATATCCTGTTCCACCACATCCCAAAGGTGATCTGGTGACTATGGAGTCCATTTGAGTAAAGTGAACTTGTCATGCTCAAATTAGTTTGAGATGATTTGATCTTTGTGTCATGGTGTGTTATCTTGCTGGAAGTAGCCATCAGAAGATGTGTACACTGGTCATAAAAGGATGGACATGGTCAGCAACAATACTCAGGTAGGCTGTGGCGTTTAAAATATGCTCATTTACAAAGAGGCCCAAAGTGTGCCAAGAGAGTATCCCCCACACCATTACACCACAAGCACCAGCCTGAACCGTTGATACAAGGCAGGATGGATCCATGCTTTTATGTTGTTTGCCAAATTCTGACCCTACCATCTGAATGTTGCAGAAATCCAGACTCATCAGACCAGGCCACATTTTCTCAATCTTTTATTGTCCAATTTTTGGTTAGCCCGTATTAATTGTAGCTTCAGTTTCATGTTCTCATGCTGCTGTAGTCCATCTACTTCAAGAGTTCAGAGATGTTCAGAGATGCTCTTCTGCAGACCTCGGTTGTAACGAGGGGTTATTTGAGTTACTGTTGTCTTTCTATCACCTCGAACCAGTCTGACCATTTTCCTCTGACATCAACAAAGCATTTTCACTCACAGAACTGTCACTCACTGGATATTTTCTCTTTTTCAGACCATTCTCTGTAAACCCTAGAGATGGTTGTGTGTGAAAATCCCAGAAGATCAGCAGTTTCTGAAATACTCAGACCAGCCAGTCTGGCACAAACAACCATGCCACGTTCAAAGTCACTTAAATCTCCTTTCTTCCCCATTCTGATGCTCAGTTTGAACTTCAGCAGATTGTCTTGGGCCATGTTGTCTACATGCCTAAATGCATTGAGTAGCTGCCATGTGATTGGCTGATTAGATATTTGCATTAACGAGCAGTTGAACAGGTGTACCTAATAAAGTGTCCGGGGAGCGTGTATAGGAAAGAAATTAATAATTTTATTCATCAAGGACAGTAAAGACAAGGACATAGAAAAAGATTTCTATTTTATTCAATCTTTATACATATACACACATGACATATATATTCCTGTCCTTTTGAACTGTCTCATCAAAGAATCCTGAAAAATATTAAGCAATACAACTGTTTTCAACATTGATACATATAAGAAATGTTTCTTGAACAGCGATCAGCATATTAGAATGATTTCTACTGGAATCACAGTAATAAGTTATAAGCAGCCTCAGTGAGCAGAAGACACTTTTCAAAAACTAAAAAAAAAAAAGTTACCAACCCCAAACTTTTGAATGGTGATGTATGTTGCCCTTTAATGCACCATTTTCCTAGAAACCATCAGGTCAAGTTCAACCAATCAAAACTATATTTGTTCAAATTTTTAAAAAAAACGTGCGGAATATAATTAAATATTTGCATAATTAGATCATTACTTGAGTCCTGTCTTATCATATTGTCCTCTCTTGCAAAGAGATTACACATTTAGAAAATAAACTCAGTAGCACATTAAAGGACAGACAGTTGATATTCATTAGTTGAGCTGTCTCATATTCCACTACAACAGGCGCATGCGTATTAAGGTCAGACATAATAATCACAACAAAAAGAGCATAAATAATTTCTCTAAATTAAACCTGTCGAATAAATCACATAAGCATGCTAAAGGGCAGAATGTAGAGGTAGATGCAATAAGCTTCTCATTATAAATAATGTATCCAGTTCACGTAAAACATTGAGGAAAGGAATGCTGAACAGTCGTAGGAAAGTTAATAAGTAAACAACTATCTAAATTTCCCCAAGTGAAAAACTACATATAAATGAACACTGAAGAGCCAGATCTCTGAGCTGAATATCTTGTCTACCTTGTTTGTGTTTTTAGTGTTGAGTTCACCGTAGGGGACATCCCCATCAATAACTTCCGGATGATTGAGAGGCACTATTTCCGTGAACAGCTGCTGAAGAGCTTCGACTTTGAGTTTGGCTTCTGCATCCCCAGCAGCAAGAACACCTGTGAGCACATCTACGAGTTCCCGCCGCTCTCGGAGGATATCAGTAAGTGCCATCAACATGGTCAACGGAGGTTGGGGTTGCAAAGGTTTTTGTTTTGTAATAAAAAGTCTCTTATGTTCACAGAGGCTGCATTTATTTGATCAAAAATACCGTAAAAACAGTCAATAAATATTACTACAATTTAAAATGACTTTTTTTTCTGATTTGATATATTTTAAACGTAATTTATTCCTGTGGTATATAGTTCAAATACAAATGTCTACGCAAATATATAATGATATTCTGCATAGATTCACTTCGTAGTAACTTCACCCTACTGATTATGAATTTGCACATAATACGTGTGTGTGTGTGTATATATATAATATATATATATAGATATATATATACATATTTATTTGTGTGTATATAAATATGTGTGTGTGTATATATATATATATATATATACACACACACACACACATGACATATATATATATATTTATGTGTGTGTGTGTATATATATATATGTGTGTGTGTATGTATGTATATATTAGGGCTGTCAAATGATTAATCACATCCAAAATAAAAGTTTGTTTACATAATATATGTGCGTGTACTGTGTATAATTATTTTGTATATAAATGCACACACGTATATATTTAAGAAAAATGTTATTTATATATATAAAATGTTTATATTTATATAAAATATACATTATATATAGGCTACATTCAGTCTATATACAGTATATACATGCAAATATTTCTTAAATACACATGCATGTGTGGGTATTTATGTATTAAAAATAATTATACACAGTACACACACATATATTATGTAAACACAAACTTTTGTTTTGGATGCGATTAATCGCGATTAATCGTTTGACAGCCCTAGTATATATATATATATATATATGTATGTATGTGTATATGTTAAAACTTATAAGTGCATGTATGTGTGTATGTTAATGAATGTTTATACATTTTAATATATATATATATATATATATATATATATATATATATATATATATATATATATATATATATTTATATATACACTGCATATGTGTATGTAAGTTATTTTAACTTGATATGATAATGATGTGAAATGAAAATGATGCGTTGCATACTTAATTTTTATTTCAAGGATTTCATCCTTTTAATGAGGTTCATTATTATATCAAAACCATTTATTTACTTCGAGTCATTGAATGCATTAATTGCTTTTTAAATATATTTTTAATACATTAATAGACACAGACAAGTAATGAACATCATGTCATTGACCTAACAGCATCTATGAGCTTTTAAGAAAGCTTCATAATTATCACATTATCTGCATATCTCAATGGTGATTTGAGCTCTCTGACGTGTTTTCTTTTATTTCAGTACGTGAGATGATCCTCCATCCTTACGAGACGCAGTCCGACAGCTTCTACTTTGTGGACAACAAGCTGGTCATGCACAACAAAGCAGATTACTCGTACAGCGGAGGCCCGTAAGACAGCGGTGGGACGGGACTGAGGCAGAGAGTTTGACTGACAGACCTAAGAACCAATCACATGTCTTTGTCCAGCAGTCACGCCCTCCTCGAATCAGTGTCATAGACGACTACCTGCAGTGCGCCATGCCTGTTTTCGAGATCTAAAGTGTCGTATCATAAGGTCTTGTCCAATGCATACATATCCTATTGTGATGTCACACTGCCATTGTTCACATCAGCAAATATAGATATTATATTATATTTTGTAACTTCCCCCAAACATGAGCAAATTCACTCTAGTCCCATGTTTTTTATGGGCAAGGCACTGTAATGTGAATGGTACTTAGGTTTTACTATTCATTGTGAGCATGTGTGTGTATGAGTGGGGGTTTTGATTCCGCGTGTGTGTGTGTGTGTGTGTGTGTGTGTGTGAGACAGTGAGTGAGTGGGGGCGTCTTAAGTGGGCCGTCCTCACAGTTTAACACAAATAAGACTATATATTGTTGATGTTGAGTATTACTTTCCCTGTCAGAATAAGCTACATCAGAATTTCACACTTGTGAACTTTTCATCCTAAATAGAATATAATATGATTTTATGGTGAGACCTTGACTTAATTGATAGATTTGTGTTGAATTAGATATATTTTGATACGTGAACAAACTTGCTTAATTTTGAGACGTTGATTATTTGCGTGGATAAAAACAAAAATCAAGCAAAAAATGAAGTCAAATCAATCCAAAAGGAGTTTATGGTGCACAACCGTCATGAATATGCAGATACTAGGAACTTTTGCATCCAAAGGTCTGCGTAAAGTACATAATTCATGCTGCGAACGAGCGGTTGTGTGGATAAAACAACGTTTGTGCAAAAAAAAAAAAAAGTCTGCCGAAAAGGGAACACGGCACACGCTACAAGCCTTGACGTTTTAAACGTCTGTGGTTCGTGTGGTTTCTTTTTGTCTTTGTAAAAAACAAAAGGAATGAAATATCCTGCTGTCTAAAGAGGAGTAGTTCAAAGAGATCAAGAGATGGCGTCTCTTCTCGTCTCTCCATCACACATTCCAGTGAGCCAGAGCCCTCTCAGCTGTTTAGTGCACATAGCAGAGGTTAGGTTTTACGTCTTATTCAAGGAACCTTGTATTCATAGTGCAAAAAGTGCATTTAGGAGGAGGATTTAAAGAAACTGTTTTTGGTTTATGAATAAGGGGGAAGCTTTCAAGGACTTGTAAGTGTGTAAAATGGAGGAATAACTTGAAAAATGTTTCTAGTCAGACATGTAACAGCTTTATTTATAATTGTGATTTATTGTAAATGATTTTCAGAGGGGAGAAAATGAAACATGTTTTGGACAGTTCAAACGCCAGTGTGGAATAAAAGAGAAATAAATGTATATGTTGAATTTTTTGGGAAATTACTGAAGTTGTCTTTATTTTCTCATAGCCAATTATTTTGAACAAATTCTTATTGTTTAGCACTAGCAAATTTAGATACTTTATTTTATTTGAATTTTAATATACACTACCGGTAGTTAAATTAAAAAAAAAAAAATTTATTCAACAAAATAATTTGTGAACTATCAAAGCAACTTGGGGGAAAAAGTACCACGGTTAAAGCAAAAATGTTAAGCTGAACAACTTTTTTCAACATTGATAATAATAAATGAAGACTGTTAGTAATGGCTTCTGAAAATTTAGCTTTGCCATTGTAAGAACAGATTTTCCTGCTAAGACAAAAGCTGAGATAAAACTCACCATAAAGCAATAAAACGCACCCTGGACAGAAGATCGCAAAGACAGAGCACAGGACATTGTCTTGTCCAAACGTTTCTCCTACCTTATCTCTGCATCCCCCTCTCCCTCTCCCCCTGAGTCAAGTCACCAAAAGTTCACTAAGAATGCTTATATATCATATATGATGTATCTTGGGAATCTATTGTTTTTCCTTTTCGTGTTTGGTATCATTTTAAGTGTCTCGGTGCGATTGGTAAAATGGTCTTAATTTCATTGCAGTCATTGGTAAAATGGTCTTAATTTCATTGCAGTCATTGGTAATATGAGAAGGATTGAGGACTTAGGAGAATCCTGTGTTCCTCTTTGGGTGATGTTTCTTCAAGACATCTCCCCTCTCCCCCGAGACCAGGTGCTACCCCCTGGGGTACAGGAACTGACCCAAAACACACTGGAAAAAATATTGGTACAACCCTTTTTCTGGTCTGGGTATTTAAGGCTAGGTAACAGAGCAATCTTTGGGACCTGTAACCAGGAAAAAAACCCATGCAGTAATGTGTCAGTGTTATCCCCTTGGAAAGCTCTCACACACTACTGTGTGTCTCTGTCAGGAATGCATTGCTTACTTTTAGAATCATCTTTGAGTAATTGATGTCATGCATTTATTATTTCTGAATTGGCTTTTAATCATTTACTTGTGAAATTGGCACGGTACATTTTTCCTGACAAAAATAAATGTTAACCTTGATTATTCTGAAGTTTTCTGGAATCATTATTTCTAGTAGATTATGTGTAGTCTGTTGTTCCCGCAAATCTCTGTCCAGGATAGATCACACCTAAGGCACTAATGAATGGAGCATGGGGCACATCATTAGACCTTCTGATTCCTGACTATCTCCTAACTTAGCATGTTGTACGCTGCAACTATTGAGAAAAATTACACCTATGAGTCAGCAGTGAGCGGCCGCGTAGGGTAAGATAGTTTGCACTGCACCCTCTGACTATTTTAGGACTGGCTAGTTTGTGATCGTGAGCGCACACTCGCGACGTGACGTCTCAAAGCGACACCAGGTCCTTAATGAACGAATATTTGAAATTATGAAATGGCCAGAATAATCAAAGATCTAAATTAACTCATAATCAGTATTTATGACTGTTTTCTAATAAGAAACACAATCTAAATTTGATTAACATTTGAAATTGGAGTCAGATTAAGCGTAGAGCTAAAGTATTATTTAAACTAAATTCCAATAAATTAAGTGAACTTCACTGGAGCGCTGAAAAGACATACACGCATTATTCCTTCGACCATACCATTGGATTCTGGTGTTGGGCCAATGGGTGGACCTTACACCATCACAGAAATAAATCACAATTCAAAAGATATTCAAATAGAAAAGTTATTTTGAATTGTAGTAATGTTTTACAATATTGCTGGGTTTTTTTCTGTATTTTTAAACCGCGAAATGCAGACTTGTTAAGCGTCATCTTTGAAAAACATTTAAAAATCTAAAAGAAAAGGAATAAAACCCTGTAAAACAAATGCAGGTCCCAAGATTAACCTTGCATTTGCAATTTTATAGTACATCAGTACTTAAATATACTCCCATTTATGAACAATATTGTTACTGCAGGCGCTGTGAATGAAAGTTCTCACAAGTTTGCACAAAATTAGTTTTATTTGACAAAAAGCACATTCTAAAAAAAATGCTGTAGAGTTTACATTTAAGCATTCACAGTTACATCTAATTAAGGGGCATTTCTTTAACTGCGCTACCTCACAAATGAAGATTTATGATTCAAATGTGTAATTAAAATGTATTAAATAGACAAGGATCCAAAAAGGGATCTAAAGTATAAAAGGTCTTATCCAGACCCTATAAATTAAATTAAATTTCGTGAACCAGCACAAATGGAAGAACGGAAAACCAAAGCCACAAAGTATGTAGAAAAAAAGGTTCTGCATAAACCTGAACTTGGATCAGATTTGAGCCACATTGGGGCAAAATGCGCTACATGGAGTCGACTCACATTTACAAAGTCCTCAAACTTGAGTGACTTTAAATATGTAAATAAGTGATGCATAATTCTGAACTCTAAATGGAGGCTGTAAATCCTTCCTGGCCACTTCATGTAGTGCTTGAAAAGATCCTTTCAAGAGGTTTTGAGAAAAACTAAGCTTGTGCTCCATAGGGCGCTGATGAGGGGACGGACGCTACACACTCTAATACTGCATACTGACACTTTTGTGCATTTGATGATGCCATTTTTTGGATTAGCTTCCTTTCTCCCCTTTCTTTCCCTTCAGTATTCTCACTAAACCAAACGTGTAAAGACGTTCATGGTGTATGTGTGGTATTTGTGCCATTGGCCCATGTGGGAAAGGTTCCTAGCTTGAACATGGCCGTTCCCCATGTGTTGATGCCGAGGTTGATGCACAGAATGCCAATGATGTTGAGAATGAAGCCCGCCTTTGCCTTCAGACAGAAGGAAAATACAATTATCCGCTGATTTTTTCATATACAATGTCCCCAAAAATGTATTTTCACATTCAAATCCCACTTAAGCTTTATAAAATCCAATGGAACATCAAAACTCATATAAACTGTAGTTAACCATACCATGTCTAAGACTTTGAGGTTGCCGTAAGAGAAAGCGATGGCGTTGGGTGGAGTGGCTACAGGAAGCATGAATGCCAACGAAGCGCTGATCGTGCAGGGCAGCATCACATAGAGCGGATGGATCCCGATAGTTGTGGCCTGAGAACAGAGACGACTTGTTAGCAAGTTAAACACTTCAGCTTCGAAATTTACTTTTAGGTCGAATGAATGTGTGTAATTTATGTTGTAGAATAGGTTTGGTGGGTTTCTGTATGCTCACCATAGAGGCAAGAATGGGCAGGAATAGTGTGGTGGTGGCCGTGTTGCTGGAACACTCCGTGAACGTTCCCACCAGCAAACACAGGATCAGGGAGATGGCGAAGGGTGGGATGCTCTGGAGAGGGGCCAGGCTGTCACCCAACCACACCGATAGTCCAGACGCCTACACAAACATCACATCACTTCATATCGCTCCACATTGCTTCACTTCACATCACTTCACATCACATCACTTCACATCACTTCACATCACATCACTCCACATCACTTCACTTCACATCACATCACATCACTCCACATCACTTCACTTCACATCACATCACATCACTCCACATCGCTTCACCTCACTTCACATCACTCCACATCACTTCACTTCACATCACTCCACATCGCTTCACCTCTCTTCACATCACTTCACTCCACATCCCTTCACATCACTTCACTCCACATTGCTTCACATCACTTCACATCGCTCCACATTGCTTCACTTCACATCACTTCACATCGCTCCACATCACTTCACTTCACATCACTCCACATCGCTTCACCTCTCTTCACATCACTTCACTCCACATCCCTTCACATCGCTTCACATCACTTCACTCCACATTGCTTCACTCCACATTGCTTCTCTTCACATCGCTCCACATCACTTCACATCACTCCACATTGCTTCACTTCACATCGCTCCACATCACTTCACATCGCTTCACTTCACATCCCTCCACATCACATCACTTCACTCCACATTGCTTCACTTCACATCGCTCCACATCACTTCACATCGCTTCACTTCACATCACTCCACATCACTTCACATCACATCACTTCACTCCACATCGCTTCACCTCACTTCACATCACTCCACATCGCTCCACATTGCTTCACTTCACATCACATCACTTCACATCGCTCCACATTGCTTCACTTCACATCACTTCACTTCACATCGCTCCACATCACTTCACTTCACATCACTCCACATCGCTTCACATCGCTTCACCTCACTTCACATCAGTTCACTCCACATCGCTTCACATCGCTTCACCTCACTTCACATCACTTCACTCCACATCGCTTCACTTCACATCGCTCCACATTGCTTCACTCCACATTGCTTCACTCCACATTGCTTCTCTTCACATCGCTCCACATCACTTCACATCGCTCCACATTGCTTCATTTCACATCACTTCACTTCACATCGCTCCACATCACTTCACTTCACATCACTCCACATCGCTTCACATCGCTTCACCTCACTTCACATCAGTTCACTCCACATCGCTTCACATCGCTTCACCTCACTTCACATCACTTCACTCCACATCGCTTCACTTCACATCGCTCCACAATGCTTCACTCCACATTGCTTCACTCCACATTGCTTCTCTTCACATCGCTCCACATCACTTCACATCACTCCACATTGCTTCACTTCACATCCCTCCACATCACATCACTTCACTTCACATTACTTCACTTCACATCGCTCCACATCACTTCACATCACTTCACATCACTTCACATCACATCGCTTCACTTCACATCACTCCACATCACTTCACATCACAAAACTCCACATCCACATAACGTGTTAGCAGATATTAGACAGTCTACTAATACTCTAATGAGTGCTAGTTGACTTGTAATTGCAAAGTTACTTACAATTAATAGAATGTCTGAAGTGGATTATCGAAAGTGTTACCCATTATATTACATTACATGTATATTATTCAATTTCAGCATGTAACTTGTGTGACATTTACCATTTTACACCTGAAAAAAAAATTCAATAAAAAGACCCTAGCAACCATCCAAATCTCCCAGCTTTGTGGCAGCAAGTTTCGCATTGGTGAGCAGCACTCCACAGAACTTTCTCCTTTTCTTCAGAAAATGTAAAAAAATATATACTTTTAACTGTAATTCCATAAAAGACTAATGAATGTACATAATGTACATTTACTGCCAATGTAATGTGTCACTCTGTCATCCTCTTACCTCACTTCCACTTGCCAAGGCAAATCCTCCCCCCAGGAGCAAGACTATGTTCCAGGGCATGCGTTCATGAACCACCTTCCAGTTTAGTAGAGTGGGCGTACCCTTCAGTTTCTTCTTCTTTTCCTGTTTTTCTCCTCCTTTATAAAACAGATGGACCAGTAGCTATGGTTTAAGACCTGGTTTAAACTGATAAATATTCAGTGCGAATACTCCTAAAGCAGAACCACTTTACCTTCCTGCTCATCTCCTTCAGCTTCTTCATCATGTTCATCACACGAATTGATCGAATAGAGAAAGTCTATCCGAGATGGAACGAGGAAGAACATGGTTGACATGAAAATGGCCACAGTGCCATCGGTGACGTATCTTTATTGAAACAGAGAAAATGGGAAGAAATTCAAATGCAATGACCAAAACTTTTCATTTTATTTGTTTAAAAGTAAACTATTGCTATAAGTTTTGGGGTGAAGTGTACTCACTGTCCGTTTTTGTTGAAGAGCTCGCTAGCCCAGCCTGGCATGAAGCCTGGTTCTCGTGTGAACCACAGGATCACCAGGATCACAAAGATGACAAGCACTCCGCCCTCAGCAAAAGACATCGAACCCAACTTCTTATATTCATTCTTCATCACTCTGTAAGCGTCTTTGTCTCCCTCATTCTTCGAACCACAGCCAAAAGATTTTTTAAAACTGGGGAAAAAAATTCACCAAACAATGAATGAAAGACTGCTTAAACCAACCTCAAATTTCTACCTTAAAAACGTCAGATTAACATTAACGGGTCATTAAAATGTATTTTGATTTTTCCCCTGTAAGCTTCTTTTGAGATAACATTTCAACACCAGGTACATCTACACAACTCAAACTTTCAAGGGGGCATTATTTGATTATTGATGATTATTTAAATGAAATTGATATGGTTATATATTAGTGCTATCAAATCGATCAATCACGATTAATCGCATCTAACATAAAAGTTACATAACGCGTGTGTGTGTGTATATATTATCATTATATTTATATATATTATATATATGTCTGTGTGTGTGTGTAGACACATATTTATACACATATACATATACATATATACTATAATAATATATACCGACACATATATTATGTAAACAAAAACTTTTATGTTAGATGCAATTAATCACGATTAATCGATTTTACAGCACGAATGTATGCAAAAATCAACATGAAATCCTATGTCTTCCCCGCCTCATATCTATTGAAGTAATATACAGAATCAGAATCTTGGTAATAAAAAGGTCTGAAATTAGGCAGCATTATCATAATTACAGCAGAAATGCCAGAAATACTTTTAGCCAAAATTGTTTTTTAACAATTGTATTAAATAATAGGAGCTCTTTCAAACTTTCAAATAGGAGCTCTGTCAAACGAGTTGAGAACCAATGGTCTAGCTAAAAACACTCACTGTATGTCTAGGACACACCGTATTTAATGTAAAGGATGCAAGTTACTCACTTAAGACCCAAGTACATGAACTGCAGCCAGAGCCAAGACAGCACAAGCATCAGCACCATGTTAGGAAAGGCAAAACCGAACCAGCTGGCAAAGTTGATCACGCCATGGTTTTCTGGAAAAATCCTGTAAAAAAGGGCGAATGTGTGTGCAGTTTATAATTTGTCTCCAGTACTGTATGCACATTTTTATGTTGTAGGTCCAACAGATTGTGTGCACAACCATGCATAATCTTAAAGAGAAAAATATTTGAATAATTATAATATTTATTATTACCAAAACAATGATGGGGATGTTTTTTTTAATTTGTATTAATTTTGTTATCATTTAAGAAATTAATTGATTTTTTATACAACACAGATCAGAGTCATAACAGGATAATTGACAAACGTACGCATCCATCTGGCCCTTGAGAATAAGATTTGGTGTGGTGCCAGTCAGGGTGGCAGTTCCTCCGATGCTGGCGGAGTAACACACACATAGACTCATTCCTTTAAAGAGACGAATGTACTTCGCTTCACGTTCTTTCCTCCTGCATTCAGAGAGTGAATTGATTCTTTCCTCCAGATCTGGATTGACTGTCAAGATTAAGAACAGGTGGGATGTAAGTTTTAAGACTGTGTGTTATTACCACTGATTGGTTAATAGTGGAAATGCTGTATATTGTTCTGCTCATTCGTGTGACTTAAACCTTGTGTTACACCAAATTCTGTGACCGTATTACACTGTAAATGTATATGACCAATAAGTTATGACAACATATGTTTTTACATTGCTTTAACTCATCAAAATAAGTTAAGCAATTTTCAACTTTATACAAGATTCAAGTTTGATGTAATTTAAGTTGAAATGATTAAACACCCAAGTTGATTGTACTTAAAATTTTAAGACAGCAACTCTTTTTTACAGTGTGCTGTAGTAGGTAGGGGTAAGGTTGGGTTAGGGTTAGGGTTACAACAGCCGTCTACTACGGTCACAGAATTTGGTGTAACAACGGCTGTACTGTCATTTCCCTCAAATCACACTTTCTCTTGCGTCTTAGTTATCGACTGTAGTCAAAATGAACTTTTCGAAACTCCAAATCAATTAAACCAAATTCTTTGCCAAATGATTCATTCTTTCGAAGCGTTCAAAGCACTGTAGGCTAGCAACTGCCGGTCAAAATGGTGTCAAGGCAATGAGAACACAGCCCAAACAATTGCAAATGTTTAAATAATTAAACAAACACTAAACCTACATTATAAAACTGGCTTACTAACATCAAACACTGGTTCATTGGCTTACTCTTGTGTCAACACCCTTTAAACGGAAATTAGAAATGTTTAGAAACCTACACAGCTTGGCGTAACAAAGCTTCATGTGCTGGAATCACATGACATTCGTAAAAAAGTTATGAAACCTTGTGAGATGTTTAAGATAATGTTTAACATTATAAGATAATAAAGTAAAGTTTAAAAGTGTCAACATGTCAGACATACCGTTGGGTTTGTCTCCAGAGAAATTGTCCAAAGGATGTTTGGTGTTGACCTCGGTCAACTCAAACGCTTGATTATCTTGGCCTTCCCTCAGCTCTTTCTCATCAGAGTCTGCTTCTGTGGCGCTGAGCTGTTCGAGAACAGCTTGAGAAATGGGCAACATCATGGCTGTGGTGGCCGTGTTGCTGATCCACATGGAGAGGAAGGATGTTACGAGCATGAATCCCAGCATCAGCCTGCAGAAGTGAGTGTGAAAAACAGGTGAGTGTGTGAATGTGACAGAAATTAAAGGTACGTTTTCAGCGCGTGTGATCTTACAAAGCAGGCCGAACTCCAACTACCAGGAGGACACTCAGAGCGATGCGCTTATGGAGATTCCATTGTTCAACAGCTATAGCCACCAGCAGACCCCCTATAAACAGCATGTTGGTGTCCTTTAGGTACTGAACACACACCTGAAACACAAAGTATCACACTTACCCCCGATTTCACAGACAAGGCTTAAGTGTAGTCCCAGGCTAAAATGCATGTTTGAGCTGTTTTAACTGAAAGCAACTTGCACTGAGATAGCTTAAAATATGTTTTGCACTAGATGCACTAGAAATGTTTTTTTCTAAAGCACATTTATAAAAACAAATGTCCCAAACTAAGGCCTAATCCTGGCTTAATCTAAGCCCTGTCTGTGAAACCGGGCCTTAATGTCATATTTAGTTCTGGTCAACGTGGGTTGGGTTACATTTTTTTACTGTATACACAGTTTGTACGGAGCCACCAAACTGACATGATAATAGGGAAAAAATATATTTCAATACTTGTGTTCTCATGCAAAAACTTTTGCATTCACCCCAAAAAACTGTGTTCCCTCACAAAACTTTTGTGATGGAAATAATATGAGAAAATGTAGGTAATGCTATTTTGATAGTCCACTTTAGAGATTCTACGACTTTAAAGTGCCCCTGTCAATAATTGGATCCCTTAAAAATCATCTTTGATCACCAAAAATGACATATTAAAAAGTTTTTTCCTTGAAAATTTTTTTTTGTCTTAAAATAACTTGAATGTAACTCTTCACCCTTGCCTCATTTAGTATACGCGGTTCAATGAATATGCAAATTATCCCCGCCTCCACTCACTCACACCAGCCCAGAGATCCACTCGTTGAAGATCATATGTTGACGTGATTGGTTACAAAGTAGTTTGTAACTTCAGAAACACCAGCGATTTCAGATCGCATTTTTGAGACTGTCTTTGGTTCACTGCCGTTTTAAGGAGAAAATACTCAGCAATGGTGTTGACTGTTGACATGAATTTGTACATGGTTTGTCTTAAAGCATATTAAAAACACCACATAGACATATGAAAGCTTGATTTTTACCACAGGGGGACTTTAAGTAACTGTAACTACATGTCAGCTACCAGCTACCATTAGACTAGAAGTTCTCTTACTGCGAGAGAACACAAAAGTTTTGTGAGTGAAGTGGCAAAATAAGTATGTGAAACTGTATGCATTACACAATGGTTAAACGTTTAAAAAAATAGAATCAAGTAAACCTTTTAGAAATAAGCATTTTTAATCAAATTTTGTGTAAAATCTGTTGGCAGTCTGAGAAAGAGAGTCAAGATGTTCAAAACCATTCATTTGGGAGATGGAAAGTCAAGTTGAGAGCATTGCATTATGGGATACGGTACACAGCACGGTATGCTGTGCTGTATTTCCTTAATGACAGACTCATTAGATTTTAGACTAGAGTGTCTAAAATCAGTCAAAGATGGAGAGATAAGGAATATAAAGATATATTACAGTCTGGCTGGTGACATGTTCAAAGACGTTCATAAAAACTGCTTTTATGGCCCATAAACTTCTCAAATCATTAGAGATAACGCTTGTACAAAATAATGCTGATGAAGGTAAATCTCTCTGAACATGTGATCAGTCATTACTTTAAAGTAGTTTTCCATGGCTTTTGTGCTTGCGACTACAGTAATAAAACTGATAATCTCTTATAACTATATGCATATTTATTAACAATTGTTATGTGAATAGTTTGCTTGCCCATTATGTTTCGTTACACAGTTTTCTCAATCTCTTTGGGACATTTTTCGAAACAGTCTTAACATCAAAATAACAGTCTTAGCACCAAAATAAAAGAGTTTTTATCATCGTGTGAGCCATGCTGGTCAAAATGTTTATATATATTTTTCTCTATGGAAATATTTGTTATACACAAATTTTGTGTTTTTTGTTTGTTTGTTTTTTTGTTAACACTAACTGCTTTTATACTATACAAGAATGTCAGTGTTGTCTGTGTATCACACTGAGCTTTTTAAATACAGATCCAGACAGTATGTAAAAATTGACTGGGACAAATCTATACTGTTGCACACTAAAAGTAAATGAACATTTGTATTTATACAGTACTTTTTTTTTTTGTTACATGTAAACTTAAAATTCACAGTTGCTTGCTTATTTTTACACACTCTATTATATCTTTCTCTAACACATAAATATCTTACATATCTTCCTATTTTTCTTCCATGACAATAATTTTCAGTTTACATATAACACATTTCTACAAAATAAATGTACTGTATAAATACAAATACAGGATTGATGTAGCTGCTGCTGTTCAGAGTTGTGATGTTCCTCTATGTTCAAAAAATGTGATAAGATTGTGATTCCTATTTCATCACAACGACATGTAATTTGCCAAATTACATTACAACATTACAAACATTACAAACATTCATGGAATATAACTTGTCTGAGTCTGACAGATTTTGATCACTCTATTGATCATTTCGCATGTGATGGCTCACACGATGAAAGAATGTTTAGCAGTTGTGAAGAGTTTGACAGTTTAAAGGGGTGGTATGTAAAATGCCCTTTTCACAAGATTCCCTTTTCTAAAATAAGTCTTTGATGTCCCCAGAGTGTGTATGTGAAGTTTTAGCTCAAAATACCCCCCAGATATTTTATATGGCATGTTAAAATTGTTACTTTTTGAGGCTGAGCAAAAAACGCACCGTACCGTTTTCTTGTCTGTCCCTTTAAATGCAAATGAGCTGCTGCTCCACAGAGGGCGGAGTTACAACAGTTGTGCCCTTTAGCAGCTTCGATTACCTCACACAGACAATTTAAAAAACCTTTAACCTTTTATGTTTAAGCCGGAGTCGGACAAATATGGAGAGATTCAAGAAGAAGTTACAACATGTAGACAACATTTCTGAATGGTTAGTTGATGAATTTTATGTAGCTTATGTGTAGTTATCTTCTAGTCATTGATTAGCATATTCTGTCATGATAATCTATAAATCGGGTTCTCAGGGCGAGGTTTATGTACATTTTAGTGTTTGTGATGTCACTAACCCGTGAGGAAGCTCATGTAACTAGTCCCTTTGTTGTAGTCCTTAAAAAGCAACTTCTTTCAAATAAAATATCTCCCTTTGCTTTGAACTTTGAGCGTCGTAACTTTGCAGATGTTGTTTAAGGTTATGCTAAAACAGCAACGTTAGAAAAGTGAAATCATAATCAACCACCGCCCTTTAACTGAGAATCGACTCATCAGTTTTGATCAACAAGCCATGTGCATTTAGTCATTGGGCAAATTGTAGACAATTGTACTCTTGCACACATGTGGCAAAACACATGTAATTTGCCTAAATCAATAAGAAATTCTAATCTGATGTGAACGAATTCTTGTTCAGAGACGAGGGGCCGTATTCACAAAACATTTTACCACTAAGAGTTCTCCTAAATCGTCAAGTTAGGAGCTACCTTTAGCATTAAGAAGTATTGTGAATACAGTTTTGTGAAAAAAAGTCTTATTTGAGAATTGAAAGCTATTGAGAACAACTGTGATAGATAGATAGATAGACAGATACAGATAGATATATAGACAGATAGATAGACAGATACAGATAGATAGATAGACAGATAGATAGATAGACAGACAGATATATAGACAGATAGATAGACAGATACAGATAGACAGATAGATAGATAGAAACTTCTTAAGTATTTAAATAATTTTTTTAATTCAAAATGTTAATCATGGAATATTTTTTTGAACAATACCTTTTCAGACTCCATGATGCCCATCATGGGGAAGAGGACGACGGGCAGCAGGGCAGTGATGGCGAGAGGAATACACTCTGTGCACCAGAACAGTGCCATCAGGATGATGACATAACCACATCTCGCCTCCTGAAGAACACAATAGTCATACGTGTCAAAACGTAAGGGAATACATCACCTGTTCACGTAGCAGTTGGGCACATTTCTGTAGAAGAGAATTATTGGATGGGAATTAGATGCATTGCACATCTAAGATGTGATCTCAGGTCTATGGCAATCCTCTCATCTTAGCTTGTCAAAGGGGAGGAAAGGGTGGGATTTGACATCTAGTGCAGGTTCCAGGGGTCACTACTGTATCTCTTGAAGGCCTATCATTCTCAGAATGCTGATAAAAGTAACCGTTGAACATTAATAACGACTGTAAACTATTTTTAATTCATTTACTTTTATGGATGCTTTTATTTTATGGAAGAATTTTATTACTTGATAAAAGGCTGTATATGTTTAACCAAAGCCTGAAAAATGAAATAAGTCTTTTTTTAATGGAACAGAAGCTTTAGACAAATTTGGTGCAGTTTCTGATATTTATGTGGCTAAAAAGTAAGATGAAATTCTAAAAGTTTGTAATGTGTGTGTGTGTGTGTGTGTGTGTTTTGTGACCTTTAAACATTGTAATATAAGAGTATGAACGTGCATGATGGATCGTGTAGCTCAATTCTATCTAGTTTAGTTTTTTTTTTAGTTTTTTTATACAAAAAATAATAGTAATAGTTCAGCCACTTTAGGGGGTCTTAAATGTCTGATAATTTATTTTTTAATTAACCCTTAAATGCATGAATGTTTCGACAATCATTCTTACATATTCGGGTCTTTAGCGACCTGGATCTAAATCTAACACGGATGGATGTCTACCTGTTCCGATAATATAAAAACTCTCCTGATATTAGAGTAACAATTACAGAAGAATAAAATAAAGCATATTTTGTTACCTTTTGTAGCTTGGAAGGTTTCAGATGTTTTATACCATCATCAATATCCTCGTCAGAGATCATTTCCCAGTAAATTCAGCATCTGGCTCATTTTTGCAATCTTAAAGCTGCAGTCCATAGCTTTTTTTGGGTTAAAAATTATCCAAAATACATATTTGAGAAAATACATAACTAGCCAGTGTTCAAAACTATCTGCTTGGCTTAGCTCGATTCAAAGCGGTAAGCTTGTAATAATGTTTTTAATTCCAGTGGTACTGGTGGATTTCTGCGGGAGATTCGAGCATGTCTTTGCGTCATTACGTCACATCTGTACACATAAAGGAGTCTCGGCTAGTAGAAGCTATATTGCGTGTGAGGATGTTGGAGGTGGAGATTTAGAGATTAGCCTTTTCTCACAGCACTTGATATAATTAAACTTATCAATTTGATGGCGGATCCAGAAAGGTTCAAACGACAATCACCAGTGACAACAGATTCACCCATTGTAAAATGCAAAAGACTTCGTTCGGACTTCGGAGTGGCTACAGAAAAAAAGAGACTGCAACCCGGACCCATGCGAAAACAAGGATAAATATCGGAAGGACATTACATAGTCACGCAATGCTTGTTTATGTTGTTAACATTAACAATTTGAGAACAAAGTATAATTTGCACGGTTTTGCGTGATATGATAACTTATAAGCGATTGTTAGATTTAATCAGCGCTATTTACTGCAATGTCAGAACCAGAACAAAAGTGGATGTTTCTTACTTGTTCGGATGACATTTTCCGGTGAAAATTCTTATGTTGGTCATACTTCCAAAAAGAATAATCTGTGATTCTGAATGCCAGTATCCACATCGGCGCGGCGACTGACAGCTGCACACTCTCCTCAAACACTGTGTTCATCCGCGCTGTGCCGTGTCGAGGGTGTGGAAGTACAACTCACGTAAAGTTGATAATTCCGTGAATGACTGCAATTGCAGATTTCGAACAGAGATGGCGACAAAGAGGAAAAACACCGGACTGCAGCTTTAAACATATTCTCAAAACTATTCATCAAATCAATATTTTGATCGCTGACACCTTCTTTACCAGATCCACCATCAAGTGACAGAGAGAGACACTAATATTTTTTATTTTTTTATTAATGCCAAGGTATCAAAAATACAAGTAGCCTACAACAATGTACAAATTACATACAACAAAATAATGAAAGCAATACAGCACATATATATATATAGCCTGTTGCGTTCAGTTTTTGCTCTGCAGTAAATCGCTGTGCAATTTCAAGTTTTGCTGATGATACTTCCTATTCTTTTGTTTTCTAACTGCGGTAACTATGAGTGAAACGTCACTTCATCATTGTGTCTCAGATATTGGAATAAAGGTGAATTGCACTTATTCAGTCATAAAAGATTCAATTATTGTTGTGCAGAATAAAAAAATTACACTGTTACACACCTCGGGTCGTTAGCGACCCTATACAATTTTTTACAAAAAATGTATAGGAAAACAGGCATTCTTTTTTAATTGTATTTTTTTTCTAGTTACATTGTTTATAATGAATTGATTGAGGAATACTAAGAAGGTTGATGTCTAACTTTTAAAAATGGATGAGGAAGAAGGTAGTGAATGACGTCCCAGATTACTAAAGAACCGAGGTATGCGTTTAAGGGTTAACATTACCATTTCAATAATTGATTCAAAAAGAGAGTAGTTTTGTGCATTATTTTTTCAGCTGAAGTTCTTAAGGTCAGAGTAACCCGGTCTCAAGATGTTGAGTAACAGTGGGCCACATGGCTTCATTTTCTTTGTTTGTGACTTGAGGATGACCTCCGCAAGCTGTGTAAATATAGTGTTCCACAGATCATAAATAAGAGCAGTGAGGTTTTCATTCAGCTGCTGATGAGATTTTATTTTTAAATGTTCCGATATCACATTGTCATATTTCAGTCATTTGGCTATTAAGAATTCACAAAATGTAGATGCATAAAGAAACTATTTTGGTTAACATGTTCAATGGCTTTGAATTGATTTTCCACAAAATACTCCTGCAGAAAGGCACTTACCGGAGTTGGGATGATAATCGGCAGGGGCAATAATAGTAAAGGGGTGATGAAGATGATCAGATAGTTTCTGTGAAGCCATATCCAGCGTAGGATTAATGCAACATCTTCTGGAATCCCTGGAAGTCCCATGTCTTCTGGCCCTCGGCTGCAGATGTCAGGTGTGTGGTGGATGGATTGCTGATGAAGGTCGAGCTAGATCAATGTGTTTATAGGCATCGTCACATAAAAAAAATTAAACATTAACTGTGTGAACAAGGGGAGGGTAAATAGAGGAATGAAGGAGGGGAGGGTAAAAAAGACGGCAAACAAACAAAAAAGATTAACCCATTTGTTATCTTTTTCTAAAGCCGCAATTCATTGTATTGTTAAAACACTGACTAATGAATTTATTAAAAGCACATATGAACTTTTCACACTCCTGATGTCATCATGGAAGAGCTGGAGTCACCCTGATAAGTGTCTCTTTCACACCGGAGATATGCAAAGAATGTTTCTCACTGTTCTCTTCTGAATGTGCGGGAATAATATTGCCATTGTGCTGGTTTGTAAAGAATAAATGAAAGATTAAGTAAATAATCAAGTAACAAAACACTTTTTCAGTAGGTTCATTTGATTAGCATTAGTATTAGTTCAACATCATGAAATGACAATAAACTATCTTTACTGCATTTATTATTTTGTTAATGTTCATTTATAAATAGACTTTTATGCACTATAGTTAATTCATGTTCTTTCATAATGCATTAATGTAAATTTATACAAATGTTAATGTATTAGTATATGTAAAAATTAACATGAACCTAAATGCTTTAAAAATGTATGTTAACGAATTGATTATTCTGAAGTGTTATGTTTTATAACTAGTGTTATTTATTTAATGTCAAACAAAATGAGAGATTGTCCATATCTATGGAATCCAAAGAATTTGACGTTGCAGTTCCAAAGCGGTTTGTTATTTACAGTTTAAAAGAAGGACGTAGAGTCTAAATAGATATGAAAATAATTCCAGCAAGGACACACTTGATTTAGTAAACACATTCAATACTGTTCAAATGTTTGGGGTCAGTTCGCCTTTTTTGTTTTTGTTTTAGTTTGAGTTTTTTTTTTAAGAAGAAATTAATGCATAGTTATGTGATGAAACTCCTTAATGGAAGCTGATGATATTTACAGCGTTAAAGAGGCTATATGCGTTTTTCTGAAATTTAAACTCGCGACTGACACCTGTGGCCAAAAAACAGAACTGCTCTTCCTTTCTGCTCGCTCTCGTACGTGCACAGTTCACAAGTCATCTGCTGCAAGGAGGTCAAGCTTATGTTTACAGAGGTAAGAACAGTTAAATACATATATTGTTTGAGATAAGTGCTGGCAAGCGGTGGTGGCAGAGTGATCTGAAACGTTTAACATGAACGCGCTTGACGTCACATCCGCCGACAGCGCGGGAAAAATCCGACCCGACAGAAAATAGGAAAAATAGGATACAGGCTTATAGGTGCACCCACTGTGAGCGGACAAGGTGTCAGTATGCTCAACAGGAGATGTTTGAGTCATAAATGGTAAAATAAAAAGGCTATTGTTACGTTTATTTTGGGGAAAAAGTTATATATAGTCCCTTTAACTTCTTGGCACAAGCTGATTGGTTCATGTTGGATCTGTAGTCAATGAGCTTGCAGCTCAACATTTAAATGGCTGGTTACGATTCACTATAGCAGTTTGGAGTGCACTTTCAGAGTTCTTCTAAAAGCCTTCACCTCCCTAGCTCCACCTGTATAGATCTGCTTTGGGTAATTGATACATACTATTTGTGCAGTAGCAGTATGTCTTACATACTCACAGCAGTGTACAGCAGATCTATCCCACCAAGACCAAATATAATAACATTGTCATACGGATTACTATGCTAAAAATCTTCAGAGTTGTCATGACAGAAATACTTTTATTGAGCAAAGATGCATTGAATTGATAAAAAATAACAGTAAAGACATTTTTAATGTTACAAAATGTTTCTAATTCAAATAAATGCTGCTCTTTTGAACTTTCTATTCATCAAAGAATCCTGAAATTGTTTTATTGTTTCCATTAAAATATTAAGCAGCAGATTGATAATTGCCATGTTCTGTTTTGGGTTTGTTCTAGTTCCTGTACCTGTTGCCTTTCTTCCCAATGTTCCTGCTTTGACAGTGACGTCATGCGCATGCGCATTACATGTTCACACTTGCGTATTACGCGTTCGCAGGGTGTTTCTTGACAATGTGACATCGCCAACTACTGGCCTGGCAGCCTAATACAGTCATTTTTGCAGGTTCGTTTGAAAGGGATCTTTTTGACAATGTTGTCGTCTGTTTTTAGTACATCGCTGATGTGTAAACATACGGTCAGTTTGCAGTTCAGTGTCCTGTGTTGTCTAAATGGTATTTAGCTAGTAAAATGTTTTGCTTTCTCCTACTCCAGAGTTTATATTACCTTCTTTGTTTTTGGTTTGTTAATAAAACAGCTGGAATTTTAACCATCTGTCAGCGCTGGTTGCAGCAGATATGAAACTGGATCTAAGTGCAGCAGTCTTTATTATGAACTAAACTCAAATCTTCACAAAACTTCAGAAACACAGAGATGAATGAAAACAAACTCTAATTGTGAACAAGTAAACTCAAATCGTGACAGTACCCCGCCCTCCCAGAAGGTGCGTCCTCGTGCTGTATTACATCCACAGGGGTTGGAGGTCTTGGGCTGGAGTGGACTCAGGGGCAGGAATTCTCTCTGGACTCTGGTCAGGGGCAGGAGTCCTCTCTGGACTCTGGTCAGGGGCAGGAGTCCTCTCTCGACTCTGTTCAGGGGCTGGAGCCCTCTCTGGACTCTGGTCAGGGGCTGGAGTCCTCTCTGCACTCGGTTTAGGGGCAGGAGTCCTCTCTGGTCTCTGGTCAGGGGCTGGAGTCCTCTCTGGACTCTGGTCAGGGGCAGGAGTCCTCTCTGCACTCTGGTCAAGGGCAGGAGTCCTCTCTGGACTCTGGTCAGTGGCTGGAGTCCTCTCTGGTCTGGGGCAGGGGTCCTCTCTGGACTCTGGTCAGGGGCAGGAGTCCTCTCTGCACTGTGGTCAGGGGCAGGAGTCCTCTCTGGACTCTGGTCAGGGGCAGGAGTCCTCTCTGGACTCTGGTCAGGGGCAGGAGTCCTCTCTGGACTCTAGTCAGGAGCTGGAGTCCTCTCTGGACTCTGATCAGGAGCTGGAGTCCTCTCTGGACTCTGGTCAGGGGCAGTAGTCCTTTCTGGATTCTGGTCAGGGGCAGAAGTCCTCTCTGGACTCTGGTCAGTGGCAGGAGTCCTCTCTGCACTCTGGTCAAGGGCAGGAGTCCTCTCTGGACTCTGGTCAGGGGCTGGAGTCCTCTCTGGACTCTGGTCTAGGGCAGGGGTCCTCTCTGGACTCTGGTCAGGGGCAGGAGTCCTCTCTGCACTGTGTTCAGGGGCTGGAGTCCTCTCTGGACTCTGGTCAGGGGCAGGAGTCCTCTCTAGACTCTAGTCAGGGGCTGGAGTCCTCTCTGGACTCTGATCAGGAGCTGGAGTCCTCTCTGGACTCTGGTCAGGGGCAAAAATCCTCTCTGGACTCTGGTCAGGGGCTGGAGCCCTCTCTGGACTCTGGTCAAGGGCAGGAGTTCTCTCTGGGCTCTGGTCAGGGACTGGAGTCCTCTCTGCACTCTGTTTAGGGGCAGGAGTCCTCTCTGGTCTCTGGTCAGGGGCTGGAGTCCTCTCTGGACTCTGGTCAGGGGCAGGAGTCCTCTCTGGACTCTAGTCAGGGGCTAGAGTCCTCTCTGGACTCTGATCACGGGCTGGAGTCCTCTCTGGACTCTGGTCAGGGGCAGTAGTCCTCTCTGGATTCTGGTCAGGGGCAGGAGTCCTCTGTGGACTCTGGTCAGGGGCAAAAATACTCTCTGGACTCTGGTCAGGGGCTGGAGCCCTCTCTGGACTCTGGTCAAGGGCAGGGTCCTCTCTGGACTCTGGTCAGGGGCTGGAGTCCTCTCTGGACTCTGTTTAGGGGCAGGAGTCCTCTCAGGTCTCTGGTCAAGGGCAGGAGTCCTCTCTGGTCTCTGGTCAGGGGCTGGAGTCCTCTCTGCACTCTGTTCAGGGGCAGGAGTCCTCTCTGGACTCTGGTCAGGGGCTGGAGCTGATGTGTGTGGCCTAAACACACCTAGGCTTTATTTACACTGACACAGATCAGAATTTGTTGCACACTTTTAAACACAAAAATCCGCACGAGATCCGATCTGAGCCACTTCCAAATGTGGGTTTAAGTCAGATACAAATCCGATATATGGACATCCAACCTACGTCTAAACACGCATATCCGATTCCCCTTTGAATTCTAAGCTACCACAAGGCAAGGATGACACTTTATTCACAAAGATAGATTTTTAATGTTGTATTATGAGGCAGATGTGCCTATATGCGCTCGCTCACAGCTTTTTTATTGTTGTGGGAAATTTATATATATCTTTGTAAAGAAAAGAAATTGCGCGAACGCAGAAACATTCAGGAGCTGGTTTTCAACCTCTCCCCGTGACTTTTATAAATAAAACAGCTTTACTACTGAAAGCTACATTATATTTCACAGCAATGAGGTGATAACTTTTCTGTAATTAAACCAACAAGCTTCACTATTAGGTTACTCGCGCGTGAACTCTCTCTCTCTCTCTCTCTCTCTCTCTCTCTCTCTCTCTCTCTCTCTCTCTCTCTCTCTCTCTCTCTCTCTCTCTCTCTCTCTCTCTCTCTCTCTCTCTCTCTCTCTCTCTCTCTCTCTCTCTCTCTCTCTCTCTCTCTCTCTCTCGTTAATTAATTCGAATTCATTAAAATATATATTACAGTTACAGGGCTACTTTATTTCACTTCAGAATTCTAGATCTGAGCTCTAGGAAAACGTCTCGGTTACATATGGTAACCCTCGTTCCCTGAGGGAGGGAACGGAGACGTAGGTCAGACGTAGGTCAGCCAATCTATTTCGAGTGAAACTAAAACAAGCCAATGCACATTGGCATGCAATCATTTGCATCAGCTGCGCGTCCTCGTCAGCGCGGGTATTTAACAGCAGCTGTTATGATTGCACACTAGTTTTTTGCTGAGGAGCCAAACCTGAAAAAGCTGGCCCCCCGGCGGGCGGCAGCAGATGTGGCGACGGGACCTACGTCTCCGTTCCCTCCCTCA